ACAGACGGACATCGTTAAATCGATATACAATTTTATGCTGATCATGAGTATATATACTTTATGGGTCTACGGCGAATATTTAGAGGTGTTACAAACGGAATGACAAATTTATCATGGCCAATTTTTCATCTATGTTGTATCTTGTGATAAAAATTAATACTACAATGTAACCTCAGACGAACTTTGCTATATCGACCAAGAATTTTATTCCGATCACAAATATTAACTTTGTAGGGTTTAATATAAAATTAAATATTTATTTTATAAATGCAATACGATATTAAAACAGTGTTTTTACGTTATGAACATTTCCCCCATATTTATTCAGAATAGCCCATAAAAGGTGTACAAACTAATGCACCCTTTGGCAAATATTTGTTGCATGTTTGTATTGCCACAAATGGCAGCACTACTGTTAAATTACCCAACATACCAAAATGGCTTGAGAATAATATTACAATAAGCTTATGAACATAAGCCTTAAGCTTGAGAAAATCTTGAGAAAACATTGAAAAATGTTTGTGTAACAAGTATAGAATAATCAAAACGGAACCCTTATTTATAAGCTTATACTTGAAATTGTAGAATAAGCTTACAAAAATAATATTAAAATAAGCTTATTTTTGTAATAGTATATAATATTATTATTTTTTTAATTTTTAATCATTTTTCACATTTTTTTCTTGATGGACATCCCAGTAGTCACTGCCTCATGTGGCCTTGATACCCTGACGCTTTCTTCTCCCTTATTTGAACTTCTGCATCTCTTCCACTAAGACTACACATCTATTGAATTCCTTCAACTTTTTGATGCTTCCAATCTGAAATGGGATTGGAATAATTTATGTGAAAGATTCCCGGATTTATTATTCATGCATACCTTAAGGGTTCGGTCCAGAAATGGGTCCTAAATTCGCGTGATTTTGTTTTTTGCCAAAGAAAATAATTTCTTGCTGACAATTTTCACAAAAAATCAAAACTAATTTGTCAACAAGGGACAGATTTGAGAAATGTTTGTGGAACATAAGTGTTTCTCAAGCATTGCTGAAAAATTATATTTTTATAATATTGTTCTCAAGCTGTATTGTATTTTTGGTATGTTGGGTAAATTCATAATAAATTTTATATATTTCCATATTTCAATTTACATTTATTGTTTTTTTTTTTTTTTGCATTACTACAAAAGTTGCATGAGGCAATATATTAAACACAGAATTCGTATAAAAGCTGTGTAAGTTTCTGATTACTCCGTCGAAGAAAATAATTAATAATAATTATTTAAATTTGTGCCAAAAGAAGCTGACTAATTTTCATCGAAGCATTATGATGAGGAAAGTTACAACCTAAATCAAAATTGTGTAATTGGATTGTAAAGGTATTATAAGGACCGAATTAGAAAATTTTCGTAGTTGATCTTAAGTTAAAATAGATATAAAAATTCCAATAAAATTATTGTACAAAAAATTGACATGATTAATTATTCTACAAAAATCAAAAAATTGAGTTGGTCCTAAATCGTAATTAAACGCAATATCACAATATGGCGTTTGTTTTGGCCAAGAAGTTCATAACGTACCATCCATGATACGATTATATAAATGTATTGCTTCCGACATTTTTTTTACCAGATTCTGTATTTTATTTCGGCTGCTTTGAGTTGTATTGTTTACTTCACGATAATGTAGAACTTCAATCCATTTCCTGTTGCCTTATAAAATATTTATTGAATTTTCAAACTGAATTCGTTTTCCTCCTCTAAGCAATAGCTTGTCGTTCTGAGTTCTTGCTTTTTTTTTTTTTTTGCACGTTATTGTTTACATTGCCATGGTTGTTTTCTTGTCCATTAGTGTGGGTTTTCCCCAGCCGGCCAGTGATAAAATATTTTCTCTGCACGTTCGTTTTTTTATTCCTTTAATTTTTACTAAATGAAAATGTTGGGTGGTCATCCTCTGTGCGGGTTAATTGATTTTTGTTAATTGAATAGTTTTTCTCATGTTCTCCCTCTTTGTTTTTTGTAATCATGTCATAGATGTTTTTTTCTATTATTTTGTAGAGATTTTCCAGCTTGCTTTTTGTGTGAGTGTTTTTGGATATCTTTGTTTTTGCCTTTGCCACTGGAAATGCCAATAACGGGGGTTTCATGGTCAGTTATAAAACCAGAGCAAGTTTTTTGCAAGCGTTAGAAAATTTTAAATATTTTCACACGCACGATTGGTTGGTAATTTGAATGTTTCCAATTTTTTTTAGCCTTGTCGAACTTTTTTTTAGCAGATGGAAAAAAAAATATCAAGAGTGGATTAAATGCCAATCAAGCGAATTCTTGTGGATTTATTAAATTTTGCTTAAATGCTTTTTCTTATTTGTGATTGAACCTATGCTAATTGCCGTGTCAGCAATTAAATAATTATATACATCGTTTAATTTGCGATCAGATTACATGAATTTCATTGCAAAAATATGATATGAAATATTTATTTAAATCAATTTTTTGTTGTTTAATTGTTAATACAAATGATGTGATGCATTGAGCAAATGTTAGCTGATTAAAATTAATGATAGACAAAAGTTTACGTGTTTTTCTCACCAGCAACAGTTGATATTGAATATGATAGAGATGGAAAAATATTAAATGGTGAAAAATGACTTAAACCGTTTGTATTTAATTGTATGGAACATATATTCAATTCTGATCACCGACTTTATGACACCCTACACAACTTTGCATATTTAGTAGAGCTACCCATAACAAATAAACCTTTTTATGGGGAATCATAATTTTGAATACGTATTATAGGCTTGAGTAGTTATAATTTAAAGCGAAAAGGAACTAATATACGGGAGGTATATCCTCCTCTTAATCGATAACCACTAAATTTGACGGAGGCATTTATGTATGGACCAATATCCATCCTATTTGAATTGATATTACACTTTTTAGGTACAATAGACGTAAAATCGGATGAAGATATATATGGGAGTTATATCCATATCTGAATCGTATACAATCTATGCCGTATCTGATAGTTGGGTCAAAATATCGTTGCTGTGGTGAGAATTTTGAGGGTTTGAGAACAAAAACACCAAATCGGATGAAACATATATATGGGAGCTACAGTTGTATCTGAACCGATTTCCACCAAATTGTACACACTTGTTTCTAGGCTCAATTTCCATGGATCCATGGATAGTGAGTATGGGCCATGGTGAGCACGTGATCCCTACGTAATGGAGGTTGGGTTGGGAAATGGTGGCGTTAGGAACGTTCAAAAACTTTAAATAAAGCACATTTAGTGCACAATAAAAAGCAAATCGGAAGAAGATATATATAGAAGGTATATCTACAGGGTGATATAAAAAACTGCAACAAAGTCAAACGCCGTATTTTCTAATTTTTTTTTAAATTTTATTGTATGAAAACAAAAAAGTCGGAAATTTATTTATTTTGACCCATTCCCGGCGAATAGTTGCTTGAGGTAATTGACACTTTGGTATTTTTAGTCCTGTTGGAATGTCCAAGGTCTCCGGACAAAATGTTTTCATGCCAAAGGGTTTAATACATCCACCAGAATATTTTCGCGATAATATTCGGCATTTATTCTAATGATACGAGCGGAGAGCGATCATTGACTGTTATGACCATTACCATGGCCGGTGCTTGAGTTCTGGTGTACAACCGAAGGTGCACATTTTGAGCTGACCTCTGTGGCAAGTAAATACGATCATTTTGTTTGTTTACAAACTGTTGGACAACGAATATTTTTTCATCGGAAAAAACCAAATTCGGCAGTTCAACGTTTTCAGCCAAGCGAAGCAACTCTTTAGATCTTCTGAGTCTATTTTCTTTCTGTTGCGGTGTAAGTTTTTGCATTTTTGGGATTTCAATGGCTTTACCCCGAGCTCATATTTTAATATTTGCCTAATGGAATATTGCGATATAATCAGCTCACGAGCCATTTTTCGGCCACTGCGACGCGGGTTTCGATCAAGTCGCTTCTTTACTTTTCGAACCATTTCTGCTGATGTTGCTGTATTCTTCCGTCCTCTTCCTTGACGTCGGACTAGGCTACCAGTACCACGGTAACGAGCGACGGTACGAGACACAAAAGATTTATTCACATTTAAATATATAGAAAATATATAGAAATCACACTATCACGCTTGAATTAAATCACGAATAACTTTTTTTTCTGGAAAATTCACACCAAAAGGCTTTTGTACGCTTGTAAACAATATAATGAGCTGTCACTGGAATAATTTTAACAGCTGTCGGACGAGTGGCATAGAAATGATTGCAGTTTTTTCGTCTCACCCTGTATATTTCCTTCAAATTTGATATAAATAGTAAATCTGGTACACCTGATGAAATAGACAAACGTAGCTTTTCGGAGCATAAGATTAAAATGGCTTCAATTACATATTCCAAATTTGTTCTAACTTGATTTATATTGCTATAGCTATATATAGCTATAGTTGTCATCCGATTTTATATTTAATACATTAATAATATTCACTAAAAAAATATTATTTAGTGGAAATATGTTTATATTAAGGCATAGCTCTCATATAATAGTTAAATTTAAACCAATCTAAAGTCGTAATAAGCATTTAAAATCAACCAGAGTTGCCATGGGGTTCCTTCAAACAAATTATCAATCTAAACGCACATTTGTTACAGGTTTCTCTGTTACATAGGGTTGGGAATGATATAATGGTCATCTCCCTGACTTTAGTCTTTCCATACTGGCCTTAATTTGTCTTACTTTCTTTAAGTTATTTCAATTAAAAATTGTTCGTTCGTTCGTTCGTTACTATATTAAAAATACTCATAAATAAATTGAAGGACTAATGCAACCAACCATTATAAATTTACTTTTACTTGACGAACAGCGATTATTATAAGTAAAATTAATCTTAGTTCTATAATGTTCTAATTCCTCATCGAATAGAAACTTAGATCAGTAATAGTTTTCACAAATATTTTCATTTCCTCCCCATTTCAGACAACATCAATGAGAAACGTCTACAACGTCTTAATGAACGACAGAATGCCTTCAATGCCAAGTATAAGAAGACCATGGAACAACAACAGGAAAAGCAACAACAACAATACAAAGAGAATAGCAACAATAACATAATAAGCAGCAGCAACAACAATGAATTCAATACCATCATGGATGTAAGTAATGCCCGATTGCTAGAGCTGTACTATTTGATTAGAATTGGACATTTGACACTCCATTCAAGTGTGCCTCAGTCAAGACAAGATGTCTCCAAGAGCATTTGCTGAATTGTGGTCAAAGTATTGGACCATGTATAGGACCTTAGTTTATTGGATGTAAACAAATTTAAACTTGTATTGATGGACAAATAATGTGGGATACACTGAAGTAAATTGTGTCTCAGTATCGCTGTGCCACTTTGTTTGTGGCTCCAGTTGTTGATATTGTAAAGAGATCAGAAAAAACAACAACCATGCAATAATCATGAAGTACAAAAACAAACAAGGTCGACATCAGGACAAATATTTACATCACTTGTATCAGGCATTTTTAATCCAAACAACAATGACATACTTGCACACATACACCCACACATACCAATGACTGTTGACTCTGCAACATTGCCAGAAACATCAGCTACAGTAATTGTGACACCAATGCCAACAACAGCAGCAAAAGCAACACCGAGTGGACAATAACTGACACTGACATTTCACATTAACATGTGTGCTATAAGCCATCAGAAAAAAACCAAAACAGGGTAAAAAATAGTCTGGAACAGATGTATGTAGAATGGAAGCAAATAGAGGCCACCGGGATTCAGACTGTATACTGCAATTAAACGACAAAAATACGATGACTTAATGGTCATAAAAAAAAGTTTTTGTATAGACTAGCCTAAAAAGATTATTCATAAATCATCTGAAGGAAGTTCTTATAGTTAAGCGGATTTAAAGTCCGAAAAGATACGATAGAAGAACCGGGGGAGTGTCTTAAAACGCAAACAGGAGGAGAGTTTTAAATAACTAGATGGAAGGGTGGAAGAAAAGAGTCTTACAAAAAACCCTGTCGAGCATTAGGGGAGGGTCTCCATAGAAAAGTCAGAGAAGGGTTTTACTGACGATCCTGCGGAAGAGTTTTTATAGAATAGCATGAGGGAAACTGGAGTAGTCTCTGTAGATTCCCTGAGTAGAGTCTTTCTACAGAATGCTAAAATTGAGTCGCTAAAGATAAGCTGAATGCCTAGGGCTCTCTATAGGAAAGCCTGAAGGCAGACTCTATATAAGATTCTAAGGGACACTGTTTAGAAGCGTCTAAACGATTTTTTTTTAGAAAACCCTGAGGGAGTCCCTATAGAGGGGCCTGAGGGAAAAAGAGGTCCCTATAGAGAGGCCTAAAGCGAGTTGAAGGCTATACAAGCCGGAACTCTTTTTAGTCAATTTGAAAGGACTGTTTATAGGCGAGATGAAAGGACGATACCTCGACGAGCTGAAGGGACACACAGTGGCGTGAGATCCCCAAAATCGGACATAAACTCAGGGAAGCATAGCGATAAAAGCTTCGAAATTTTGCTCAGACATTTATATTACCCCTAGATGTTTGGTATTAATATAGGAACATATCGGTTTTTTAAGAATCTGTCTCTCTCTCTGCAAAATGTTGTGAAGGTAAGTAAACTTTTATATTGACCCCATATAATGTTACCCCAAATTTAAGGTATTTTGAGAGTTTCAGACAGAGTTTTTCACAAACTTTTTATTTGGATTTTTGTCTTTAGATTTAAGAAGGTTTTCTAAGTATAAATTATTTTTTCTGGCTTAACTCAATTTTGTTATTTGGTACTGATATGAAAATTAAAAAAAGAGAGTAACATGCATGTGAGTAACAAAATGCTTCCTTTTATCTCTGACTTTTATGATCTAAGCCCAATGGGCCCTACAAAGACCTACGGTATTGGATGGTTTTATATTTGCAATTTTTGTAGTTTTTATCTACTGAGAAACAAAATGTGTAAAAAACTCTGTCTGAAACACTCAAAATACCTAAAATTAGGAAGTATCATTATATAGGGCCGATATAATAGTGGACTTACCTTCACAAAACTTAGTGAGAGAGATTCTATAAAAATATTGTCAATACATAATAGTAGATTTTCTTCAGAAAATTAACAGGGAGAGATTTTGTCAGCTCAGAACTAAAAAAGTTAAGTTACTCATGATTGGGTTTGAAATTATGGCCGAAACTTTAAAACTGAAAATTAGTAGGAACAGCAATATAGAGCTTATACCAATTACTGGAGCAAATTGTGGTCAAAAAGTTTCAAAATACCAAAAATAAACAGGAAGTATATGGGGGCATTACCGAAACTTTGGCCGATATGTTACATTTTGAATAGCATACTTACTAGGGGTAATATAAATGTCAGAGCAAATATTCAGAGCAATAGAATACTTCGCTGAATTAATCTCCGTTTTGGTGATTCTATCCCACTGTGGGACGATACGTCTCCGAGCTGAAATACTTTATATCAACGAGATGAAGGATCTGCATATCGACAAGATGATGGAACAATTCTTGCACGAGTTCATGGAACTGTTTTAAGGCGAGCAATAGAGATTTTTTGTATACTACAGGGTGAGATAAAACAACTGCAACAAAGTCAAGCGCCATAATTTTGTTCATTTTTTTAAAATTTTTATGAATGAGAGCAAAAATTTCGAAAATAGTATCAAATTTAAGAATAAGTTCAGATCTGTTCGAAGTGGTCAGCTTTGGCACGAATTATGGCCAATGAAACCGTCGCACACTGCCCGAATATTGCTCTGCGGTATTTTGGCCCATTCCCGGTGAAGCGCTTGCTTGAGGTAATCAACACTTTAGTATTTTTTAGTGCCAACCTAGCGTTCCAAAATATTCCAGACACAATAGTCCAACGGATTGGTATCCGGAGACTTTGGTGGCCATTGTGCGCTGGAAAAGAAGTGAGGGACCTCTTTTTGTAACCATTTTTGGGTGGCGCATGCTGAGTGCGTTGGAATGTCCAAGGTCTGCGGCCAAAATGTTTGCGTGCCCAAGGCTTTAATACACATTCCGGAATATTTTCGCGATAATATTCGCCATTTATTCTGATGCCACGGTCGATTAATACGAGCGGAGAGCGACCATCGGCTGTTATAGCGGCCCTCACCTTCACCATGGCCGGCGCTTGAGTTCTGGTGGCCAACCGAACCTGCACATTTTCAGCTGACCTCTTTGGCAAGTAAACGCAATCATTTTGTTTGTTTACAAACTGCTTGACAACAAATGTTTTCTAATCGTAGAAAACCAAATTCTGCAGTTCTCTGCTTCTTTAGCTCTTCTGAGTCTATTTTCTTTCGGTTGCGGTGTAAGTTCTTGCACTTCTTGGAATTTCAATGAGCTCGGGGTAAGCTCATTTTTCAATATTTGCCGAATGGAATATTGCGATATGTTCAGCTCACGAGCCATTTTTCCGCCACTGCGACGCGGGTGTCGATCTAGTCGCTTCTTTACTTTTCGAACCATTTCTGCTTATGTTACTGTTTTCTTCCGTTCACTTCCTTGACATCGGGCTACGCTACAAGTATCACGGTAACGATCGATGGTACGAGACACAAAAGATTTATTCACATGCTGGAGTGCTCTAACGATAGCCACTTTTTTCCAGCCAAATATAAAGAAATCACACTATCACGCCTGCATTCCATCACGAATAACTTTTTTTAATATAATTAGCTGTCACTGGAATAATTTTAACAGCTGTCGGACGAGTGGCTTAGTCTGAAGTTGGTTGCAGTTTTTTCATCTCACCCTGTAGGTGATTTGACTCTTTTAAGCGAGTTAGAGGGACTATTTAAGCGACCTGTTGGGACTTTTGGTAGTCGAGTTGTATGGACCTTTTATATGATTGCTGAATGGACTGTTTTTAGACGAGATGAAGCGACCCATCTTAGACGATTTAAATGGTCACTGATGGGTAAGCTGAAACGCCCGTAATATGCCAAAAGAAGTTTTTTTTAGAGAGCAAATGATACAGATTTGACGAGCTGAGGGGACTCTTTATTTCTGTTATTACACTGAAAGGACTGTTATTAAACTGTTGATACACGACTAAAGGGACTGTTAATATACAAGCTGAAAGGAATGTTTATTGTGAGTTGTATATGTGATTGTAGATGTAAGTACACGAGCGTAAGGGACTCTTAATACACTAGCTCCAGTAAATTTATTTTTTGTTACATAGCATAACGCCATAACCATAACCTTTACCATAAATACCAATTGCATTTTGGGTTTCGGCCTTAACCATAACAAAAGAAGTGATTGTTGTTTATTTATTTGTCATATTTCTACGGTATTTTACGAAAACTTAAATATATTTGTATGTTTCAATTTATATTTTTCGCCCGTAAACAACAACTGTTTATGGTTATGTCACCCCTAATCGAAAATTTTAAATGTGTGTATGGTTATAGTTAGAGTTATTGCTACGGCGTTGTTGTATATCACATCTAATTGAACTAAAAAAGGACTGAATACAGACGGGCAGGAGGAATGTAATTAAGGAATTAGACAATATGAAGAACGGTTATAAGGCGAACTGAAGGGACTGCTTATTGACAAGCTTAAGGGCTATTTATACTCTACCTAGCTGTATATATACGATGTAAATTCTGAAACTGTATAACGAGCTTAAAATAGTCTTTCATACACGATCTATAGCGTATATTTCATATCAGCAAAACAAGTTCTTCAATAGACAATCCAAATGAAGACTTTCTTTGAACCTTTTTTTAACAAACTGCAAACGGAAATGAATCTCTTGAGCTTGCCTGATGTATACTAACCTCGTCACTTATCATTTTGTTAATATTTATTTAATTTCATGTAAATCATTTTTATTAATCTTTTAAATATGGTTTTTGTTCTCTTTTATTGTCGTTTCTTGTGGAACAATGCTTTTATTTCATTATATGACTGTCGTTTGGCTGCGGGCGTGTTGTTGTATTTTCGTCTGTATATCCGTTTCCTGCATTTTGTGAAACTCACATCACGTATCCGCCACAATGAATTGTCGTCATCGTTGGTTTCAATTCATCTACTTGCTGTCGTTATTTGCTGCTCTCTTTTCTTTGCAAAATGACTGTGTGTGTATGCGTATGTACGGGTGTGCGGTGTCTGAACGTGATTGTCGAAAATGTTATTTCCTTGGATTTATCTTCCCCTAATCCAACCATTCATGTTATGAATCGTTCGCTCGTTCATCTATCCCTACACACATCCTTCCATCCACACCATCTATGTCCTGACACTGGATTATTGCACGCATACATCTACACATGGCGTGTAATTCATATAATGTTATTTGATTTTCATACATGACATTTTGGATGACGATGCTGCTGATGATGATGGTGATGATCATGACGCCTTGTACATTTCTGGCGCTTGTACAAAAACAATCATAAACAATGCCAATAATATACCCACAAATACCAATCATTCCACTTCCTGCTTGGCCCCCGCAACGACTAACTAACTGACTGTTTGACTGAATGTATGTCATGCATAAACACACGCGCACACACACTGGCGACGACAACAGGATAAGGATGATAATAATCGTCATTACAATCACATCAATTCGCAATTCACTTTCACGCCAGAAGAGATCAAATACGACAACAAACACTACAAATATCTCAAGTACACTGCTTACAAAAAGGTGAGTACCACTTTTGGGACAATAATAGAGAACTATTATATACTCGTAGACACTTTTTTTGGTGTTGGTGTCAGTTATGAACTACTCGGGGAAAACTAAGTATAGTAGATATCTAATGTGGAACAGAAGTTCAAAAAAATTAATACAGATTTGTGAAGGATTATGGGGGATTTAAATTAATTAAAGTACCTGTAATATTTATTCTATCTATAAAATAGCAGTTTAAGCCCCCTGAATATGGAAGAGAGTTTTTAATGGTTCTAACCACAAAATTTATCTGAAAAGTGTCTTACTCATAGGATACATATAAACATTTTTTGGTCCTCTGAAAACCTTGCACATGCCTTCTGTCAATGCATTATCTTTTGAATTCCTGTCTATCAAAGAGCTGTTTAGAGTTTTAATCTATGAGAGATCGTGGACCAAAAAAAACTTCTGCTGACCATACCGATATAGCAAAGCAAATTCTCCCCATGAAAACCTTCTAAGAGGCCTTCTAGTGGGAGAAGAAAAGCTGCAAAAACTCTCCCCATACAAGACATATTGGAGGTATTCCCTTCATAGATACCTGTTAGAGGTCTTCCCTTCTTTCCCTAAGAGACTTCAGGACTTCTATAGTAGATCGATTATAAATCTTCTCTCCATAGGATACCAGTTCGATTGTAGATAAACTGTTCGGTTTATTCTCTCGTTAGAAGACCTATTCAATTAGAGGTCTTCTCTTCCAGGACCCTCTCAAGCTCTACTCTACACATTCTCTTTGAAGATATCTGTTTGCGATATTTCCTTAATCACAAACTTTTAAAGGTCAATTGAAAAGGGTCCTCTATCCATAGAAGACCTGCTCGATATGTTCTGTTGTTTTGAGTTCTGTTAGATATCTTGTCTCTGTTGAAGTCCTATTTACAAAAGGTATGTTCGGGGTCTTCTATCAGTGGAAGGGTGAGGGTGAGACAAAGAAACTGCAACAAAGTCAAACGCGGATAGGTATTCGGAGATTTTGGTGGCCATTGTGCGCTGGAAATAAAGCGAGGAACCTCATTTTGTAACCTTTCTTGGGTGGTTCGTGCTGAGTGCGATGGTGCTGAGTCCTGTTTGAATGTCGAAGGCTTTAATAAACCCTCTAGAATATTTTCGCGATAATATTCGGCATTTATTTTGATGCCACGGTCGGTTAATACGAGCGGAGACCCACCATCGGATGTTATTGCGGTCATGGCTGGCGCTTGAGTTCTGGTGGCCGACCGAAGGTGCACATTTTCATTATTATTATTATTATTATTATTATTATTATTATTATTATTATTATTATTATTATTATTATTATTATTATTATTATTATTATTATTATTATTATTATTATTATTATTATTATTATTATTATTATTATTATTATTATTATTATTATTGTTATTGTTATTATTATTATTATTATTATTATTATTATTATTATTATTATTATTATTATTATTATTATTATTATTATTATTATTATTATTATTATTATTATTATTATTATTATTATTATTATTATTATTATTATTATGTTTATTAATATTAATTAAAGCAGATATACACAACACTTGAATTGTGTAACCTTGGTATGTTTACAATTTCTTGTAATCTACCAAGAATATTTATTTTTGCTTTCTATTTATACATTTTTGAATTCATTAAAACTAGCATTTAAAGTTAACTAAGCAATAAATTACTTCAGCCAATAACCCATGCAATGTGAAACCAATCGAGGTGTTTCTTTATTTAGGCTATTGGCCTGCATAAGGCAAACAATAATTATATAGGTCAGTTATATGCTGACATAGAATAAAATAATAATAAAAACAAAATTAAAAAATGTGTTAGTAAAATATGTTCTTTTGAACATTCTCCCCCACGTTGAACGAGGAACGTTCAAGAAACTGTCTGGTCAATGACGTATGATGATGAGACTGACTGCCGAGGGGTAGGTGTTGGGTTCATGTTATTGTTGGAAGTTCTGTGGTGGCGAAACTTGACAATGACGTATATGGCTACTCCAATTCCAATGCAAAGAGCTAGATAGCTGATGGTATGATGGTGAATGGCCGTCGATTTCATTAATTGTGGAAGGCGTCCGATTTCAATAGTTTTTAGCTGTTGGTGTAAGGTGACGAGTTCAGCAGCATGTGTTTCATAGGTGCTGTTTAATGTTTTGTTGAGCAAGACAAGCTTACTGCTTGAGATTATGGAATCCAGTGGCTTAAGTCTCAGATATGATGTGTGCACTGTTGTTTTGTTTTCGTAGTGACCGTATATTGTAAATGTGTTGTCTTTGAAAATGCAGCCTGGCCCAATTTCTAAAGTTCCAGCTCCTTGCACCTCCAGGTGTGTCATTTTTGTACCACAAACAAAGGACAATTCTGTTACATTGGCTAGAGTAAACATCCATTTATTCTTTTGTTCCATTTGTCTCCAAGTTTGGTGGTGCATGGTCGATTGCAAGTCGCACGCTTCTGACGATTTGTTCAATAAGAAAATCACCTCGCATAAATGTGATCGATCGCCTTTGCTAAATTTCGCTTGGTTGTCGCAAATAAAAACGTCATTTGTGGTATGTATGCAGCTGTTCATTTCTTCTGCGGTTAGCGATATGAACTCATCCCGATGGACGTTAGCTGCCAATAATGTTGATTTCAAAGCTATTGAAATAAATCGACCGGATCGTAGCATAGGTACGGGGATCATTTTGAATAAATCATACTGCTGGAGATCCACTAATGGAAGGCGAATCTCGAATATGATATGGTTCTTAATAACCCTTCCCTTACTCTTCATTAATTTGAAGAAATCCGAAACATTATCTTCGCGAACGGGTAGAGCACGAGATGGAGGAATGTGAGCCTTGATGGTTTGGAGCTCTTGTAGCAATTGATGTGGCGTAAGTAGCAACGGACTTATCCGACCATGATGAGCATCCGTTAAAACGTCGATTAAGTTATCTTCTATATGTTTCAACCTTGATGAAAGTAGCATGAGCTGTGAAGTGAGAAACATAATTGATTGTGTTGTCTTTACAACATCTTCTTCTTTCTTCACCTTATTTGCCAAAAGGTTCATCTCCACTTGCATGTTGCCGAAGTTCCTTTGGCTCGTATCTTCGTCCTTTCTAATTATGTTGATTGTTGAATCAATAATAGATGTCTGATTTTTTAGAAGATCCAACAAATGTTGCTTGTCTTCATTTGCCTTCTCAATTGTCACAGTCATTTGCTCCGCATATTCCGAATCCAAGACACCAAATAACGAGTGTGCGAGGTTCCCGACTATGTTTAGAGCTCCTCTCCTGATGCGCCTGGGGAATATGTTCAGTGTATTTGATTCCAACTGCTTTTGTACTTGAATAAGATTTTCTGAAAGTATCTCACAGCTTCTGTTCTCAACTGCTATCTTACACAACTTCTGAAGGGTTCCTATCCCGGTAGAAAAGCCATCCATATCTGCCCAAAATGGGGAAAGATCATAATAAGTGATCAGTTTCCACTCTGCTGTTACTACTTTTGTGATTCCAATTCCTTCAAAATAGATGCCGGGCTTATTCTCAAACTTGTGTATGTTGAACGAATGACACAAGCATAGAGGTAAAAATAGTAAAGCCACAAGCATCATCGATACTAGCATGCTGCTTGACGTCTTCAATCGCTTTGGAGATGGCTCTTCACTCCTACTCTTGGTCTCTATAGGCGGAAGAGGTTCCTTTTCCTTTTTCCATAAAACTAGCAGATCCCTATTTTTATCAAACGACCAGGATTGACGTACTACTTGGAGCAGAGTTCTACTTCAACCTGATTCTCTCACAAGAACTTCGAATGTCCAAAGAGCTTCCTATATTGAAGAACTCAAACTAGGATGGATTGCTAGTGGAAGAGTTCAGGCTGAATCAGAAACTGTGACATGCGCCGTTTTCGGAGAAGATGAACATGCTTTAGAAGATTTATTAAAGATGTTCTGGGAACAAGACGATGTTTGTGAAGACCAGAAGTTGACAATAGCAGAGGAACAGTGTGAAAATCACTTCAACCAAAATACAACAGTGAATGAGAATGGTCGGTTTGTGGTGCGATTACCGTTTGCAGACGGCCCTGAGAAAATTTCTGAATCCTTGAATATTGCAGCATCAAGATTCTTTGCGTTGGAACGTCGCTTATCTAAGGATGCAAGTCTTCACGAGCAGTATGCTAAATTTATGAAGGAGTATGAGGATCTGGGACATATGACGAAAATACAATCAAGAGAGGTGCGTGGTAATCATTACTATATCCCGCATCATTGTGTCCTACGCCCAAATAGCAGCACAACAAAACTGAGGGTTGTGTTCGATGCGTCTTGCAAGTCATCATCTGGATGGTCACTCAATGATATTTTGCATTCAGGTCCCAGGGTTCAAGGAGATCTGTTTGGAATGCTGTTGCGGTTTAGACTGCCGAGATTTGTGTTTACAACAGACATTGAAAAGATGTACAGACAAGTGCTAGTCGACAAAAGAGATCGCAAATATCAACTAATCGTATGGAGAAACACTCCAGACAAGGAACTCGAACATTACATGTTGAATACGTTAACATATGGTACGACGTGTGCCCCATATCTTGCTACAAGATGTCTGAAAAGGCTAGCAGATACGAACATACAAAGATATCCATTGGGGGCGATGGTATTGCAAAAGAATTTTTACGTTGACGATTGCATGTGCGGGTCTGACAGTTTAACAACGGCAACTGAGATGCAGAAACAAGTTAATATGTTACTACTGGAAGCTGGATTTAGACTACGAAAATGGTGTGCTAACCACTTAAAACTGCTGCATGGAATTCCTCCAGAAGATAGAGAAGTAGATCTCAATTTTGACAAATCATCAACCAAGGTTTTGGGATTAACATGGATTCCTCAAGCAGACCGATTTTGTTTGAAGAGTGATGTGAACGAATGCACCAAGGTCACCAAGCGGAAGGTCACATCTGATT